TAACAGTCTATCTGGGCAGGAGGGATGGTGCGAAGTCCGCTCGGTGGGCAGAGCGGGATCGGGCTTCGGTGCAGTGCGGCGAGCCAGTGACATTGGGCACAGCAGGAGTATGATGTGTACTGTTGGATTGTTGCATGCTGAAGGCAATTCTGGTGCCATCACTACTGCGTTTCACTCAGTTTTATCAAAGTTCATTCTGGCTTAATCTAAGCGATTCTTCCTGTAATACCATTGATACAGCGTATGACAATTACAGTAATGATAACATCCAGTGGCAGGGTTATACTGCAATTAACATCATACAATTTAATTCATTGGCTATTCTCACCTAAAATCAAACCCCCTTGAGGCACACATTGGCGTTCCCCATCCTTCCACAGCAGTCACCAAGTGCACCCAGGTCCTTGAGCAAAAGTAATCGCACGAATGCGTTTGCCTCAGCCTGAGGCAGGAGTGACCCAGACTGTCTTCCCTAACATATTTTTTATGTGCACTACGGGGACTTTATCCCCTTCTACAGTAGGTAAAAGTTCTGACTGGGCAGGGCCACCCCGATTGGCAGGTCCTCTGGTGTTGACTAACCAGGGAGCTTTTGCTAAATGTGCATCCCAGTGTTTGAAGGTTCCACCCCGCATTGCTCTCAGTGTAGTCTTTAAGAGCCCATTGCATCATTCGATTTTCCGGGGGGCTGGTGCGTGATAGGGGATGTGATATACCCACTCAATGCCATGCTCTGTGGCCCAGGTGTCTACGAGGTTGTTTCGGAAATGAGTCCCCTTGTCCAACTCATTTCTTTCTGGGGTGCTGTGTCGCCACAAGACTTGCTTTTCAAGGCCCGGGATAGTGTTCCGGGTGGTGGCACGGGGCATGGGCTATGTTTCCAGCCACCCGGTGGAAATGTAGCGCTTGCCTTGGCGGCTTTGTGGGAGTGTGATATAATTGATTTGCCAGGCCTCGCCATATTTATGTTTCGGCCACTGTCCTCCATACCACAGGAGCTTTAACTGCTTGGCTTGCTTGATTGCAGCACATGTTTCACGTTCATGGATAACTTGTGCAACAGTGTCCATGGTCAAGTCCACCCCTCGATCACGAGTCCGTCTATGTGTTGCATCTCTTCCCTGATGGCCTGAGGTGTCATGGGCCCACCGAGCCATAAATAATTCACCCTTATGTTGCCAGTCCACATCCACCTGAGCCACTTCAATCTTAGTGGCCTGATCTACCTGCTGGTTGTGCTGATGTTCTTTAGTGGCCCAGCTCTTGGTACGTGAGCATCTACGTGGCATACTTTTACAACCAGATTTTCTAGTCGGGACGCAGTATCTTGCCACAGAGCGGCAGCCCAGGTGGGTTTACCTCTGCGCTGCCAGTTGCTCTGCTTCCATTGCTGCAACCACCCCCACAGGGCACTTGCCACCAGCCATGAGTCAGTATAGAAATAGAGCGCTGGCCGCTTTTCTCTTTCAGCAATGCCTAAAGCCAGCTGGATGGCTTTCACCTCTGCAAACTGACTCGATTCACCTTCTCCTTCAGCAGTTTCTGCAACTTGTCATGTAGGACTCCATACAGCAGCCTTCCACTGCTGATGTTTTCCCACAATGCGACAGGACCTGTCGGGGAACAGGGCATGTTGCCTCTCATTTTCTGGCAGGTTATTACAGCGTGGGGCCTCTTCAGCATGCAACACCTTCTCCTCTGGAGATATTCCAAAATCTTTGCCTTCTGGCAGTGATCACTTCCAAAATTCCTGGGCAGTTGGGGTTTCCTGTGCAAGCCCGTTGTGTGAACAGTGCAACCCACTTACTCCACGTGGCATCAGTCGCGTGATGTGTAGAGGAGACCCTCCCTTTGAACATCCAGCCCAGCAGTAGCAGTTGGGGTGCTAAGTAAGAGGAGCTGTGTTTCAGTACCAGCCACTTCCGAGGCAGCTTGAACTCCTTCATATGCTGCCAATATCTCTTTTTCATTTGTAGTATAGCGAGCCTCAGATCCTTGATATCCCCCACTCCAAAACCCCAGGGGTCAGCCTTGGGTCTCCCCGGGTGCTTTCTGCCAGAGGCTCCAGGTAGGGCCGTTCTCCCCAGCTGTGGTATAGAGCAGTACCAACCACAGGGGGTTGGATATTAATATATTAATATATTCAGTGTCATGGTTATATCTTCAGTTTGTTCTTCTTCCTTTCCTAGAATTTTCAAACACTTCAATACACTGCTTAAACTGCTGCTGAACATAGAGTATGTTGTCATGGGACTGTCAATCATAACACCAAGATCTTACTCGTGGGTGGTGGTAGTCAGCTCAAAGCCTATCCTTTTATAGGTAAAGTTAGGATTGCTTTTCCCAATTTATATCACATTATGTTTATCTAGACTGAATTTTTATCTGCAGCGTTATTGTCTGGCCATTTGATTTTTTTTTTAGGGTCCTTTTGCAATTCTTCATGGTATATTTTCATCTTTCGTGCTCCAAATAACCTTCAGCAGACTTTCCCACCTTACTAATACACTAGGTACGGCCATGTTTCATTTTTATTGGACTCCAGGCTTTTCCAGTGCTGGGCCAAAGTATAATTGGGGCTGAAACATAGGTAATTAAAGGTTAGTCAAATGAGGCAAAGCTGATTAAATTGAGATAAAGCAAATGATGAAAAGTGTGAATACTCATTTGCTCAGTTTTTTTCACACCTTATTTGAGACGGTTTGCATTTCTGTGTTTATTTGGGATCCAGTGTTTTACCTAGAGACTTCAACTGAAAGCAGACTAAGGGTATTTTCTGTGTGGTGATCAGGTACAAGGACAATACAAAGAAAAATGCCTCATTTTAGTGCAGAATTTCTGCAGATGGCTAGAAATGCATTCTGTATCTTGACAGAATGTTTCTAGTTTCAGAAGGTGGTTAGTGCATTTTCTAAATTATAACTGTATCTTCTCTTTGGGCAAAGCTTTAATCTAGGGCATGACCTAGATGCAGTGCTTGTTTGGAGTAATTTGTTGAGAATGATCTGCTTCATTTTTGTAGAACGAGTAGCACAAGGGCATATGCTGTGAAAATGGTTTTGTTTGTTTTGAACAAAAGTGCTAATTGAAGCAGCAGCCTGTACTTGAAGAGCAGTAAAATTAAGCTATTCTTTTGAGACTTTCCACATGTTGTACTGTAAAAGTCTAAAACCTTTATTATATTTTAAATTCTTCTGCAGAAATACATTTTATCCACATCATAGCAATAGCTGTGTAACTTAACCTGCGGTGCTGCAGGATTAAGTAAGATTACCCACCTAGCTGCAAAACATTTTCAATAAATTGCTGTGTGGGTTAAGAATGCATAAATAAATGTCACATGCCATTTTACAGTGTTATTTTAATTTTATAAATAAAGAGAAGATTTCAGAGCACATGGGGGTTTAATGTAGACCATCTTAATGTGGGCTTTCCATGAAGTCTACTGATAACTAGAAGGATCAAAATAATTCAGGCCTTCTCTTCAGTGTTTCTTGAGAAACAGTTGGAAACAGAAGTATCTACTGTCTGTGGGCAGTCATGCCTGGTCACCTAGCCATGGACCTTAGTAGTTTATGAATGCATATTAAATTAAAACATTATGGCTAGATAGAACTCCGTTAGTACAGGAGGAAGCAGACATGAAGGTCAGATACTTTGCTTCGTCTTGAGTTCATGTATGCAAATAAATACAAAGTTTCTTGCCATACATCACCTTGCAGAAGGACTGAATTCATCATTTAAATGTAAATGCTCCATTGTAATTTCTGGGAAGCAGGTCATTTTTATCTTAGTACACATTCCAATCCTTTTTCTTGTATTAGATTCTTTTCAGTGATATCTTAGAAGTTAGATGGCCTGACCCTACTACGGCTGATCTGACAAGATTTATAGACAATGGCAGTGTGAAGATCTCATCAGTAGATGGTTATGCTCACCTTTACCTGTCAGAATTGCAGCAAGAATTTACAGTGGAGTTCTTATGCAAAGTCAGCCAGTCATCTGCAGCATCTTCACGCTCCTCTCAAAAGAACAGCGACTATCAAACCGGAGATCAGTATGGAAAATCAAGTAAAAAATCTGTTGCAGAAATGTCATTGAAACAAATGAGAACAGAGAATAAGAAGAATGAACATGGTTGTGCTGAAGGTAAATGCAGAGAACCAGCCATACCAGCAGACCAAAAAGACAGAGATGGAGTCCCTTTGTTCTACACAAATTGTTCTGAATACACATGGGTTACACAGCGTTGGTCTGTTTCCTCCTACCCAGAACAATGGAAGTACCCTTTGTTCTTGGCACTAATGTGCTGTAACTTACATACTGTTAAGAATGTAATGAAGACATGTGAGAAAAACAACCATACATCTATAGGAGCTGATGTTTTAATAGACCCTGAAACACGTGAAAGGGTTTCTTGTTTACCTACAGCTTTGCCACTCAGCTGCAGAGCCCCACATTTACACAGGTAATTTAAGCTGTTTACTTAGTAGTTGTTAAGATATGTTTTACAGTTCTGCGATTTGAAACCTCAACCTCTAGCAAAATAACAAATTACTATAGTATTATTTTTTTTAAGGAACTTTTTGAAACATGAAATTTGTGAAATCAACATTCTGTATCCTACTGTAATGAATATATCATAAGTAGTCCAGAGAAAAATACATTTTATTTTCTGACATGCTGTATAAATATGTAAGTGAAAAAGAGAATACTGAAAAAAGAACACAGCTTTTGGGTTGGTTTGGGTTTGGGTTTTTTTTTTTTTCATTTTTGAGACGATAATACTTCTGAGGTGGGCCAGTGGCATACATTCTCTGTCAGCACCACTAAAAATAATCAAAAAAACCTTTGCAGGTTTGAGAAAACTAATCTGGTAACTAATGTGGATAACTAAGGAATCAGAGGACTCTGAAAATATGTGGCCTGTTCTTCTTTGAATAGGTGTGCATGCATCTGTTTTTGGTACAGAAATGATTACTAGCACACACAAAAAACCTGGACCTTTGGACTTACTGAAGCTTTTACTGTATTTTATACAGGTGGACTTCCTGTGACTTCTTTCAGAATCGAGGTACTGAAAAGTATTCCTGCCCTCAGCTAATTCAAATTGTATGGTGCCAGGGTGTTCTGTATAGGTATGTAGGAGATCATGTGTTTCATCTTTGGAAGACTTAATTTGTATGGGAATTAAGCTTTAAGATGAAAAGTCTTACTTTGTCCCCTTCTCACTCTTTGAGAAATTGTGTACAATCTTCATATAAAAATCTGTCCATTTCTGCTGTTTGTTCATTGGACTTCAAATTTTCTAGTACATTATTTTTCCAGGTCTGAAAGTGACTACATCTGAAACAGTCTGAAATCATGTTTAAGGCTTTTAAGAAGTGATCTGATTATCTGATTTCTTAAAGGTTTACTGGGCAGCTGGAGCTCCCACAGACTTCACTGACAATTACAGGGCTTGGTTTCTTTGCAAATTACATTGCTCCTTTTGATGCTGAAGATTTCATGCTTTAGAAATGCTTGTCTTGGTGACCTACGTAATTCGCATGTTGCAGGCAGCTAAACTATGGATTTTCCTGGCAAATCACCTTGTCCCTATGGTTAAAAAAAAAAAGACCTTTTAAAAAATTGCCCATTCAATTCTGTTATACAAGCTTTGAAAATGCTACAGTTGCTATCAGCATCTGAAAGTTTTTGACAGAAGCATAATCAGCCTTTAAAGCTTTAATCTTTCTGCCCAGTGTTCTTCATTTTTCTCAGTGTAATTCTTAAATTTTCATCTCATCTGAACAAAATGTTTAGCAGCTCTTCAGTACTATACCTCATTTCTTTGGAAGTATGGTGAGTAGCCATACTTCGTCTTCTAAGTCCCATTACCAAAGTCCAGGCATGTAATCACAGAGTTGCAGAATTGGGTCATTAAATGGATTTAGGCTCCAGGATACTGTATGTTCACAAGTAAGAGACCCTTGATCTTCGTGAAAAACACACAGCTGCAGTGGAAATTTAAGACCTTCACGTTGTTCAAGAATCATTCAGTCTGACAGTTCTCTGTGTACACTAGGTAGGGCTGGTCCACTAAAAAAATTGGATTTTTCTCTTTAGAATCACTAAATTTTGTGGTCAGTGGAATGAGCAGCTCCTGTGAGATGTTTACCTCAACACAAAAACCCCCTTTCCTTAGCTTGTTTAACTCCCACCTCCCATGCACACAGGCAAACAAAGAGCCTGGTAATGCTATCTTCTGTGTTAAAAGAAGTGATTGGTACACCCTACCATTTGTGGAACAGTATAAAGTTTTTCATGTGAGGGTTGTGTTGAAAATGTGTTTCTGCTTAGTGCTTTCTTCAGGTGTACTAAACTGTTTTGCTTGTCTAGTCACACAGCATTATGAATACTTGTTAAAAATCTTGTTACTTCTTTTAGATTTATCCATGATAGGACAAACATCACAGAAATTTATCCTGGTGATGACTCATTTTTCAAGTCAGAGGGAGCATTTTTGGGAAACTATTTCATACATTATGCAATCCAAAAAGGAACAAAAAAGGTATAAACCAATAAAACTATTTTAAAATATGTTCCAAATTCCTTAAAGTTAGCAGTTTTCTTAGTTTTAAGACATTTGGCTATGCAGTCTATACTGAAGTCCCTACATTGGTAATTACTATAATGACTGAATCAAGCAATCAGTCGTACAAAAAAAGAGATTATTCTTTCTGTTTCAGAATGTATTTTTGTAAATTATAGACAAAATAAATCTTATTCACTGTAACATTTATTTCACAAGCTCAAGTATGTACTGCAGTAAGATTCTACAATAACCATTTCTCACTAATTTAGAAGAGAAGTTTAGTCTTTAATATACGGATTAGAGTTTAATCTTTATGTGCTTGGAAGTGTTTTCTTTTTTTACTGTATGGAGACAGAACCTAGAAGATGCAGGTTCTGTTCTGGCTTTGCCACAGACCAGCTGTTCTGTGCTGGAGAAATGGCTTTGCCCCTCTGTGTCCGTCTATTGTTAAGTTTCCCCAGAGAAGAGATCCTCTTGCGTGCTTATGCAGTGCTTTGTATTTTTAAAGCAGAGTTAAGGGTCAACTCTGTACCCTTCAAACTTAGCCTTTAACTTGTAGTCAAACATAGTTACTCAGTAAAAAACTACAGTCTACTCTCTGATACGAGAACTTTTTTGTCCATACTGAGTGCATGGAAACGGTGAATGTTAAACGATACAGCTGCATGTTTTTTTACTTTTCAAGGAGATATGTATCTGTGTTCTGGGACAAATTTTAATGTGATTATAGCTGCTTTCTGGGAGGCCAGAAATTTAATTATCTTGCAAGCTTTTAATACTGTTTTCATGCTACAGTGCCTGTATCTAACTCATCTCCTTTCTGCTCTTCACTGCAGAGAGAAGAAAAGATGTATTCAGTAAACAGCTTACCTCCTGATGTACCAGGAAATCCATACTCTATATCCTCTGTTGTTACTCAGGCAACCAAGTAACTTTGCTCTACTTTATCTTTGTTACATTAATTCCTCTGGCTTTGAATGGACAGTGGTTAAAATTACACATAATACTTATTATGACAAGTATAAAAAGCATAAAAGTATAAAGTATATATATATAAAGTGTAAAAATCAAAGGAATTTATATTAGTACTGAGGATGTTTATAAACTTACAGAACAAAGGTCACAACTGTTTAAGTGACATAGTAAGTATGAAATGCTTAATATTTTGTTTATTTTCTCCTCAGAATACTTCAGTACTGCTACAAGACTAAACTATCGTTAACTCATAACTGTTATCTCTGCTGCTGGAAAATGGTATGTAGCTGAAGATTTATAAATCTTTCAGTGTTATAAGGATGATTATACAGGCTATAGGGAATAGGACCTAATCTAGAGGGAAGAATGGTGAGTATATCCTTAAAGATCAGAAGGTATATATTTGGGAACCAAAAGCATGCAGTGTAAAGGTATATTTGTGGAGCAGAAAGCAATTGCATGATAAAGAGAGCTGGTTGTGGTCTGGAAAAGCAAGTGAATTGAAAATCTGGGAGAGATACAAACAGCTGTAATGATGTAAGTAACCTTTCCTCAAGTTTTTAATGCTATTTGTTTGGTTCTAGGTACCTGAGACAGATGGACGAGAAATGTTGCCAGTTTTGCTGTATGAAAAGGTTATTCCCAGCATTGGAAGACTCATTGTGTACTCGGATCATAAAGTCCATACTGCTTTTTGGGATGGTATGACCTTGATTATGATCTGGGATTTCAGCTCTTCCTGTAGTAAGATCCAGGTAACTCATGAGTTAGGGGAATGACTATTCTTAAAACTCTTCATGAAAAAGTGTTACTAGGAAACTAATGAGGAAATGAAATAAAAGTTTTGCGGCCTATAAAATATAACTGGAAGAGTTTCTGCTGTGGCTTACTCTTGAGCTTTTATAGTAGTCTAAATGAAAATAGGAACTATCCACAAACACCACTGTTAATGTATTGCCAGTATTTTAACCAGAAATTAGGAGGAAAAATATTTTAGTGCATAACTGATGCCTAGAGAGGCAAATGAAGCTTTATGCTTTTAAGAAGTCACTCATTTGATCAGAGAAGGGAGTGTTTGTTTTATATTTCAAATTATGTGTAATTGAGCAAATGGAGAGTGAGAAGTTAATTGGAAAAGTGACCTTGCGCATATGGTATTCCATATACATTTTGAAATCTACTTAATATAGAAGTAAAAAGATAACGTTGATTTTTGAAAAATGGCACTCCAGAGAAAATTACGTGAGTGTGGGATTCAAGGTTGACTGCTGAGACTTTTAGCTTCTGTTAAAGAAGCGGAGTTTGGGCTGGGCATCGGGTGTTAGTCACTCCATGCTTTGAACCCTAGGTTTCCTGAAGCAGAGTCTCAGGCACTGAATCTCGTAAAAATAAATAATTTAATACAGTCGTACAGCAGCAGGATCAGCTCGAGCTGGGTGCTTCCAGGGAGGGATCCTGATCAAAGAAATTCCTGGGCAATTATACCTTTACAGGCTATGCATCCCCCCTTCACACGATCTCCACGTGCCTTTGACGTGCCCTTTGGTCCAGTAGTGATTCTGGCGTGACACCTTCTGTCTGCTTACTGGCCTTCACTGTCCCCAGGCAAGCCATTACCTTGTCTAGTTGCAGCTGCTTTTGATGATAGTACCCTCCTTATCCTCTGGTTTGTGCTGGCTCTGAAAGCCATGTCTTGCTTGAATAGTTATAAATTCAGTAGTAGTTCAGCAAATCTGCGTGAAAGTTTGCAGCTTGCAGCCTAAGTCTTCAGCAAATCTAGCTACTCATGCCAAGTAAGTGAACAGCATTCTAAATCACACAAGTCTACACAGTTCATTCTGATTTAAACTTACTTATTTAAGCTGAACAACTAATAGTTCTTAACAGTGTATTTGCTTATTACCCTAAGGTGACAAGACACAGAAAAGATGTTAAAATGTCTGAGGGTATCTCTGTTATAAACAACATAAATATGATCGTCTGTGTGTCAAAAGATACAGTATAACTTCCTGATGTGAGCTAACTGAAATCTGTATACTCACTCATGATAAAAAGAGGAGGAACTGAAAATTCTACAGGTTTGGAAACATTGCTACACACTTTTAGAAATAATTTATTGTTGAATAGCACAAAATGAGTGTTGGGGCCATGCCAGGTGTTCTCCCTCCCCCCCCCCAAATTCTACCCTTACCAAAACACAAACTTTTAAGTGTTTAAAGTGGAATGTTCATAGATACTTAATTCTTAAGTTGGCGTACTATATTTGCTTTTTTTTTTCTCCAGACTGCAGCAGAAAATTAGTACTTGTAATTTTTTTTCTTCTAAGGTAAATGAAGATGTAGGCTGGTGTAAGTTAACTACTCCTGATGGGGTACAGCAGCTAATAAAAATAAGTCATCCTGGAATCTATGAAAGGTATAAGTAATTTAAACAATATAAAGTTAAATAGAAAATAATTCTGTACAAATCCTTTTATATGAATAAATGCTATTTCCTGAAAGCATATTGAGGGGGGAAACCAAACACCTAATGATAAAAAAAGCTCCATCTTACATCTGGCAAAGATTAAGGACCTGTATGACTCAGGGCCACTGCATCTGTTGTTCCATTGTAACAGTAATGTCTTTTTAGAAAAATAACTAGAGCTGCAACTTGGCACTGACATCAGTGGATAAGAAAAAAAGTAATCTTTGTCCTATATAGAGTTGGTACATAGAACTGGATAGCACTTATCCAATTTCGCTTTATTACAGATACTGACCTCTGCCTGCATATTGCTTTCTCTAATCTGCTTGCTGTAATTACAGCCTCATTATGGGAATCATCAGAAGCTTACTGTGCTGCATTTTAGCAAGCAGATAGTCACAAACAAAAAGTAACATTTGTATGCTATTCATTACAAATCATACAGCTTTGTTATAAATTTCTGCAACTGCATAGATTAAAATATGAAGGAGATTCTAGACAAAAAGTGGGCATCAAAAAATGGCAAGGAAACAGGAAAAGCTAGATTTTGAATCATAGCTTCTTTCTTTCTGATCAATGTTTATTGCTTAATGCCTTCAGTTTTTTGCTTGAATTAATAAGACTGTATTTCTCACACAAATAACTACTTTTCTGTGAATTTTCATGTGAACATAGGTACATCAGAACAGCAATAGAGTGGTGCAGAAGTTTGAATGAAAGAAAGGAGATTCCTGAATATACAGCACACTCTGTAACTGAAGAAAATTGGTATTCGTCTTTATCCTAAATAATTGACTACAAATAATGTTGAAAGTAAAATTCAAAATAACTATAAACTGTGAATTTTATAGACTGCATTTCCTAAGCATCAAAAATGAAAATTGTAAGTCCATTTATTTTGTTTGGTTTCATATTTTTCTTTCAGTTTTTTAAATGTTAGGTAAGTTGAGTTCTAGGTGAAGCTTGTTTCATGGCGCTTCTGCCTGCCTTACTTAAAAATCAGAATTATGGTGACTGCCAAAGGAGAATTAATGTTACAGAGAGTTATTTTGCAAAGTGGAAAAAGAGAAACTAGTCTAAGAAAGGCGTCTTTTAACAGAACACCAAGCAGTTCAAAATAGTACTTGGG